ATCAGCTTGTAGCCGAGGACAGCCGAGCAGTGAGCTTTGAGCGGCCGCGTATGTGGAGGTGGTCGAGGTTCACACCGAGCTGCTGCTGGAGCGGAGCTGGCTGGTTCTGGGACGCCTGGGCCGGGGCTGGGACAAGCTGGTGAGGATGCGGGCTGGTGGGGTGTTCCGCGGGACAGCGTTACTCCTGCTGACTCACAAGGTGCCCCTTTGTGTGCGCCAGGTTTCTTACTCTTCTTCGTTATGTTGACATAGAACAGACGGGCAGGAAAACGCGTCAACTTGAATGCATTTGTGGTACTGCGCTGGCATGACCCAGGGTAAGAAAGGAGTGTTGTTACTTGTCAGCCTTGCTTAAACTTGGAGTACACCAGCTTCCTTTTGCTCTTGCAAATAGGGATTTCAAGAGCAAAATTAAGCACAGTGCAATGCCAGCCAAGTTTTCCGTTTATCCACATGAATGTGAATTTAAGATGTGTTTTTAGGTTTGTAAAATCAAGCACACAAATTACCAAATCAAAAAATACATCTACGTGTTTAACCCTGGTTTATACGTCTAGACCAGTTCTCCAGTTACGCCAGCAATGCTCCCTCTGCCTCAGTCAGTCTGCAAAATGCTCTAAGGTGGTGATAAAATTGTTGTGGTTTTTTTTTTTCCTTTGTTGAATGAATGTGTTATGAATATACTCTGTGTTGTTCTGAAGAGAAAATTGTTCTTTGTGTGGGCTTTCTATGATGGTCGTGAAATACAGCTGTGAGTTGAGGACGTCTGCATGGTTCCCATTTTACAGATGGAAAATGGAGTACAGAGAGATGAAGGTAAACACACTTGGAAGTTTTGGGTGTCTGAGTCAACATCAAGTGTCCTTCTTTTTTGAGTCTTTGTTGTAAGTTACTCCATACCCAAAACAGAGTTCCTGTTCGTCATGCACTCAGCTAAGACTGTTTACATCTTAGTCCTGGCCTCAGCCGCCTTGCTAAGCACCAGGAAAAAGTCACATCCCATCCGTCCAGACTCCCTGTCTGTCTGTCTCACTTGCAGTACTGTTTTATTTACCATTACAGACCGTTTCATGCGTGCTTCATCTCCTGCTCCTAATCACTTTGTCCGGTGAGTTGTAGTCTTCTCATCGGGCTTTTTATCTAATCTCCCTTTCAAACAGGCACATATGTGCCGGCTACCGGTCTCCACAGTGTTTCTCCCATCTCAGATCTCTAGTACTAAGGAGTGGTCAGTCAGTTTCTTATCCGGTTGTACTGTAGCCAGTGCTCTCTTGCCACCACCCAGTCTTGGTTTTCACCGTTTGTTTTCTCTTTATTTTTTTTCCATCCCATCTGTCTTTTTGTCCCCTTTACATTTGAAGCAGACAGCTCCTTCCTTCTTTTGGTTGGATCCACCAAAAGTGGAAGGGACTGAGAACACAATGGAAAAGGATTTGTTGTTGTCACTAAACAAAATCTGCTCTAGGCTGTCCCATGAGAGGTCAAGAGCTGCAACTGGAGAAGTCCTGTGGCTGTGTATAGAAGCAAGTGTCACTGCAGGTGCATCTTCCAGAATGGAGCTCTGGACTTAGCCTCTGTTGACTGTAAGGAAACCATGTTAACAGAGGTTTATAATTTGGCTAGGGATGTCAGAAATATGTAATTGATGTGAAGATCATCTCCCTTCAAAATCTTATAAACAATTCATTAGATTCCCAGGCAATTAAAAATCGAGCTTGTAAAGAGGGAGTCTCAGGCAACTTTAATACCAGAGAACTTTATAGCCCTTCTTATAAGAGAGACCTTATTGCTGCCTTTCAGTACTTAAAGGGGTCTTAGGAGAAGGATGGGGAGAGATTTTTTACCAGGGCCTTTAAATTAAAAGGGGGTAGATTTGGATAAGATAGAAGGAAGAAATTCTTTACTGTGAGGTTGGTGAGAACTGGAACAGATTGTCCAGAGAAGTTGTGGATGCCCCATCACTGGAAGTGTTCAAGGTCAGTTTGGATGGGGCTTTGAGCAACCTGGCTTGGTAAAAAGATGTCCCTGCCCATGGCAGGGGGTTGGACTAGATGATTTTTAAAGGTTCCTTCCAACACAAACTGCTCTATGATTCTGTAACAAACTAATGGTCTTTGGCACGTGTAAGCAGTAATTTCTGATGTTCCATCTGTGCCTTGCTAACAAAGCTTTTTTTCTGGTTTTGTTAAATATTTGTTAGGAAGATTCCCCGTTTATAGTCTACAAATGAGTTCTGCCTCATGATGTAAAAAATACTTAATAGAAACTAGAAATTGTCTTGCCCCTGTTCAAATCACTGGGACCTCTGTACCAAGCAGTGTCAAGCCTTTGCGATTCTTAGTTGTCTTTGTGGAAGACAACTGATTTGGCAAACATATTTACAGTTCTAGTGTGCACTTTATCAAACAGTTTGGAAAGAAAATGTAATGATTTGTAAATAAATACAAAACAATTAGGTTCTTGTTCAAGCTTGTTTATCATTGAAAAATAATTGCAATAAATGCAACTGCCACAGGAAGAATAAGTTACATGACAGCAGATGTGTATTAAACCTCAGTTCTCCATTACAAATTGATCATTTCTTGGTTTTTTCTACTATACAATTTTTGCTGCTACAAATACGTATATGTGTGTGTGTGTATACACTGCTATATTATACTATGATGAGTTGGGAAGAATCATCTTGCACCTTTATACAGTGGTGTGAGGGGAGTTTTGAACTTGCACATCCTTGGTTTATTGATTATCAAAGCATACCCAAAACTGACAAAAAGGTAAGTGAGCATCAGCTCGTAATTCCCTGCTGTAGCAATGTTTGTCCCGGGCACGTTCTCAGTCTTGTGCACCTTTGGGCAAAGGACATCGTTGGAAATGTGCTCTTCTGTGCACTTTGAGTAGGTAGTGGGTGTGGTGGTATTAACACAGTTTAGCACAGGGACTCCAAAGGGGACCTTCCAGGGTATACCCCTTAGGTCCTGATTAATTTTTAACAGCATAATGATGTGATGTAATCATGAAGATGTGTGACTCAGTACACCTTTATTAAATGAGAAATGGATGTGGTTTCATTGCAAGGCACTTGTCAGTACTTGTGTAGTTTGTGCTAGGATAAATGGGTGGGAGCATTTTCAATATTCAGAGCTTGTTTTGTGTGCTTCGTGTCTCCCTGGGAATTTCCAAATTCAGACGGCAAGTGTGTTTTCAGTGGGTGGCTTATTGTAATCATGCCACATGTCGGGGGAGAAGGTAAGGGATGGTTGTCTGTGCCATATGTCTTACACAAATATATGGATTTTTTTTAAGGTGCAAGAAGAGCTTGGTTTTGGAAGGGAGAGGAAATAAAAATCTCCTAACTTTGAAAATTAACATGCCTTGTAGGGATGGCACAAGCACTTAAAATATCCTTCAAACTATGCAGTTAGTGCAAGGGTTGAAGGAGAGAGGGTGAAGTTTGGCTCAAATGAAACAATGTGAATTACTTCATTTTAAAAATGTTTATTTTTTTATTCAGAAGAAGCTGATGCGTCGTCTCTTGGTGCTTTAGCCTGTCCTCAGGGTCACCACCTGGCATCTTAGGAACTAGGTGAGTATGTGGGTACTAAGTTACTACAGGGGTCTGCTCTTGCAGTGCGAGACCAGCTCTCTGGGTATAATAAGCCTTTTTGCTAGCTCATTTCAACACAATGAAGCCCTGTATCCTTCCTCCTTATGTTTCTCATTCATCAAAGCTCCTGTGCCATCTGAAGCAGTCTCTCTCGCTTGTTCTCCTGCGTCTTTGAACAGGTCTTTGTATTTCTTGATCAGTTCTTGTTGGCCTTGCTGGTGGGTTTATTAGGTGCTACATAATGGTTGTCACTAATGCACTTGATGCTCTATGTGTGCCCAGCAAGCATCCTAGGAAACGAGTGATTACCGGCAGCAGCTATATATTTTCCTGTTTCTCTGGTAGCAAAGATCAATTTTATTTCACTTGGTATTTAGGAAGTCACTTCCATTCCCTCTCTTACCCCGTCTACCCCAAGATTCTTGCCGTTTTTGGAAATTCTGGCCATGGCAAATAAGTTCTTTATGAGCGTGTCACGCTGATGTGCTGTTGTGTGGCTAGTACTTGGGGTGCCAGGGTGGTAGCATATTAATTGATGGCATATTGGGGAAAGGGATATGTTAAGTATGTTTAAGGCAGTCCCATAATGGTTATTGGGTGTCATCCTGATTTTTCTGACCTTGTGTCAGCAGTGTCCTGTGTTTGTTCCTGATGTTTGGCCTTTAATTTTTCTTGTATTTTCACTTTTCTCAAAAGCAAGGAGATCTAGGGCTTAGGCTAGAGGCATAACAGAAGTGGCAAAAGGTCTAGAACAAAATGTTAGGTATGCTTAGTGCCTGGGGGGTAGAAACATAGATGGCCCAAACCTGACTTCACACTGACATGGAAGTACAGCTGTGACTCCCATTCACCATGACCTTGCAGTAATAGAGGACATGCACGTTTAACAAAACGGCTTGGTCTAAGCAGAATATAAACCAGTGCTTCTGCACCTGTGTTGTGTCCTGGTTTCAGCTGGGATAGAGTTAGTTTTCTTCACAGAAGCTAGCATAGTGCTGTGTTTTGGATTTAGTACTAGAAGAACGTTGATAACATACTGATGTTTTTAGTTGTTGCTAAATAGTGCTTAGATTAGTCAAGGACTTTTTCACCTTCCCCTGCTCGGACAGGTGGGAGGGAGCACAGCCAGGACAGCTAACCCAAACTGACCAAAGAGCTATTCCATACCATAGAACGTCATGCTCAGGGGGAGTTAGTTGGTTGGGGGGAGGGTGATTGCTGCTTGGGACGGGCTGGGCATCGGTCAGCAGTTGGTGAGCAATTGCATTGTGCATCACTTGTTTTGTATATTCTGTGTATTCCCTTACTATTATCATTATTATTATTGTTATTCTTTTCTCTTAATAAACTGTCTCTATCTCAACCCATGGGTCTTAACTTTTTTTTTCCTGATTCTCTCCCCTGTCCCACTGAGGGAGGGGGGAAGCGAGCCAGTGGCTGCATCATGCTTAATTGCCAGCTGGGTTAAACCACGACATGTTGACAGTTGCTTAACCCGTGGTTCGTCTGTCTTCAAGTGTGCCTACAGTTACATGAAAAAAAGCACGTTAAGGTGCCAAAATCAAGCCATTGAAAACTAGGAAATGCTATAGTTTGGGCTTTTTGTGCAATCTTAATTCAGCCTGCTTGTGCATATCCATTTTGAAAGGGGTTTAGTTATGACATCATATCCAGTCTTTCCGTGGTGCACTGGAGTGTGCTCATGAATAAAAAGATAATCTTGTACTTAAACCTCTACTTACATGTATAGATATATCAAGATACCACCATTTATCTAGTACTGACTTATCCTGCTGCTGTTTTAAACTGGGGAAGTACTCTCTCTGCATAGATAGGAATGCAGAGAAAGGGATGTGCACATTGCTTGCAACTCATCAGTGCAACCACTAGCCTAGGCTTAGCCATTAGAGCCATTTCGTTACCTGTGTTGAGGAAATGAAACAATGGATCATTATTAAGCTAGGATAGAAATACGTAATAGCTCAACAAAATGAAACACTGTTATGTGTTGGCATGTTTGTTAGGGTGGGTATTACTCTGTCCTTTGTAATAGCCAGCTAGTCTCCAGAGCAAACCACCTGCAAGCAGACAATGCATCAACATACAGAGTTTAAAGTAAGGTTAGCGTTATACTGGAAACAAGATATTAAAGACCTGTATGCTTAGATACACAACCTATTTGGAGTAGAAACATAGTCGGAAAGATTGTGCTGGAAAATTAATGACAGTATTAGTTGCCATGAACTGGATAAGGATTTTCCACATCTTTCAGAATCCTGTTGGTCCATCTCACGTAGGAAGTTTCTTGAGGGCTTATCATG